GGGGGTGCGGTATTTTATATTACTTTTCTCTGATCTCGAGTCGGAGTTAGAGGAGGATGAGAAGGAGAAGGAAGAGAAGGGTAAAAGTGCCAAGTACGATATAGAGCAACGACAACATGGCCTGGAGTAGGAGCAATGCTTGCTACTGAAAATAGAGTGAGATAGAAATAAAGAAAGATAGAGAAAGATAGAGAGAGAAAGAGAAGGTACACAGGGGTGAAGGGATGAAGGAGTGATAGCTTTGCCAGAAAATCGCCGCAGGCACGCTTTGTAGTTATGGACAAGTTGCACCACCCAAAGACAAGCACGAGAGGCAATTTGTTAAAAAGTACGAACGCTTTTGTCATATAACACATTTTGAATTAACCATTAAATTTACTTCTTTTCTTTTCTCTTCATTGGTCTATCTTCTATAACCACTTGAATGCATTATGGTCAAGTACAAAAAAAAATAAACAGATGCAAACAATTTCATATCATTATACATATTAAGCAAATATAAAAAACGATATAAGTAACTATTTTCTTATTTTGGTCAAGAACGTTAAAAAATAAAATGTGTATTTTTGTTTAAACAATACTTTTTAAAATTTGACTCTAAGTAAATCTTCGAAAAAAAGAGAAAAAAGAATTTCAAGAGAGCACGATTTAAATTTAATAATTAAAAATAAAAAAATGCTAATTATACACACACACACACAATCAGTGCATGAACGAAAAGATAAGCGAAAACTAAACCGTAGGAATGTAATAAAAGTGTTGTTTTTTCGCGACTCGCTGAATCATTTACTGTTGTATTCCCAGAGTGTGATCGATTAATGGACAATAAAAGAACTGCGCTTGGAGTTCCAACGTAATTGTCCACGCTTCGATTCGATCGTATCTTCGTTTGCAATGTTAAATGATACAAAACACGTTAATAATTCTCGAAGAGAAACAATTACAAATGAAAATGTTGTTATATATATATATATCGATAATAAAATATAATTATAAAAAGAAAACGAGATAAAAAGAGAAAGAGAGAGAAAAACCGATGAAGGAATTAATACAGCGGAAGTAATACGAAATAAGTATTTTTTCCTCTAGCTCGTTACTACGTGCGTACTCGGGTTAAAAGGAACGAGCACTTATCGTCGACCTTAAAACGCGCCGATCCACGTGCATGCACACAGAAGACTCACTTAAGAGAATAAGAGAGAGAGAGAGAACGAATTCTTGGCGGCGCGATGAGTAGCCCTAGCATGACTTAATTAATGCGAAACGTGGGGTTAGCACCATCGACAAAGTCGTCTTTGTCGTTGAGGGTAATAGTAAGAAAGAGAGAGAGAGAGAGAGAGAGAAGTGAAATGGTGGGAGGTTGCTCCCGGGACTGGGTCAATAAAGACGGTGTTTCGACTAATTGCGCGAGCGCTACTTACTCGATGGAGAAACAAAACGATCGACGATCCAAGACCAAGTAATTAGATGAAATGAAGAGCGTCCCGATCAAATTTTTTTTCGAGTTCCTTCAATACTCGATCGAGGAAACGTGATTTTTTATACTCTCCTTACTATAATATATATATCCGAATTTAATCAATATTTATTCCCGTAAACAAATCATGGACTTTTAAAAATTGTTGATTTTTTACGATTAACATGATTTTGGAAATTCGCGTATCCTCTCAATAATAAAACACGAGTTAAACAATTTTAATAGCTAATTTTTTAACTAATTTCTAAATTCTCTTCATTTTTATATCATTTGCAAATATATATACCTAATATATGAGAAGTAATATATAAATCTTTTCATTTATTTTGTACGAAATTAGTGAAATTATATATATTAAAATAAAAATACGAATAACTCGCGTTTCCGGGCTGGTCGCGTTTCAACTGGGATAAAAAAGAGAGAAGGATAGAGAAAGAGAGAGAGAGAGAGAGAGAGAGAGAGATGGAAAAAAACCGATATAACATAATTTAATTCGTCACGCGTCAAATCAACGCGCGGTGTAATACATCATTATAACGTAAAAGTTTTTAATGAAAAGCACGCTTTTTAAACAACTCCCGGCATAGCTCATTTGTCGAGCGGTGATTTGGTATCGTTTGAAAGACCGATTATTCTACGCGATCATCTCACTCGTGGAACGTGATTCATCGCACAAAAGGTTATAATCGGTAACATTGTTCCAAATTGAAAATTTACCAGAGCGAAAATCGTAAAAATTGTTCTTTAGAATTTCGCGCGATATATTTCGAACCAATTATTCGTTTAACGTTTATTCCGATTTTTATTAATAAATATAAATTGAAATAACCGTATATCGAGATCATTTTATTAGATTTAATTGTTCATCCTTAGCTTGCGCAAAAAGAAAAGGATTCGTTTTTTTTTACCTGTTTTTTTTTTTATTTTTTTGTTTTTTTTTTCTTCAGAGAGAGCTACGATAACTCTCGGTCTCTCTTTACCTTTTCCTATTATTTTCTTCCCGATCGAACTGATATTCTTATCGTTTCCTCAATATACCTCCATTCTAAGCTACAACAAAAAGCTCTTTCGCTGATCGTCGATGTCAAAAAAAGAATTTCACGATATCCACAAAGAACATATAAAACTCTGATATCCGCTTTAATGTGACGTAATCTAACACGTAACGATAGTGAACGCTATTACGATGATAGTAATAGAATTGGAAACACGTCGTTTCACAGCGAGAGAGGACAAAAAATTTAACGTCATTTACGTAACACGAATAAACCGTGTTAAGCTGGCTCGTCTATGTGAATCGAAATGTTCCTAGCGTGCATCTCATCCTTCTCTTTTTTTACCTTTTTCTTTTTGTAATCTCAAAACGATGTAGCAACGTTACAAAATGACCCGTTCTCCTTTCTCCTTTTAGAATCTATCGCAACCCCGAGTTAACGTTATCATCGACCCTTGAAAATAAATAGCTCGAACGCAGGAATAGGCTCTATTTATCTGACGCCAAGAATAGAAAACGTAGTAGACTCGATGAACTTTTCACGGCACGAGTACTTAGACACGTGCATATATATCTTGTTATATATAATATATTAGCATCATTCATTTTTACAATAAACAACATTTTTTCATCTAATTATTCGTGCAATCTCGAAAGAGAATAAAAATAATTAACCCTGGCAAACGTCATTTCTGTGTAATGAATTAAAAATAATTGTGAGGAAAAAAGTGAAAAAAAAAAAACAAACGGACAAATTAATTTCTGTTTTAGTAGAAAAAATATTTTTTCCCGGTTTCGTCGCGAATAAGATTAAAGAAAGTCGAAAGGTAAATTCTAACGCATACAAAGATATAATCTAACAAGAAAAGTTAATATAATGAAGTCCTAGGGTCATACGTTGTAACCAGTGTGTTTATCCACTATCGGACAAACATCTCCGTGCATCGTCATACTGAATGCGCTTAGGGTGATTCATGGTCACGGTGAAATCACGAATAGACACGTCGAAGAACGATCGAGAAGAAAAGAAAAAAAACGTCGATCCAAATATACATATATTGCTCGTCTTTCGAATGCATCGGACGAGGAGAATGACCAAGCATTCCTCTTCCTCGTTAATGACAAAAATTCATTTGATTTATCAAAGAAAAAACCGTGATAAACATGATAAACTATCGTAAACATTGAGATATTATCAAAGCAGAAGATTATTTCTTATCGTTACAATAACATAATAAAAAATACTTTCCTATCGTCTAAGATAAATAAATATAGTTTGTATACGTTATTTTACAAAAATAATACTAGTACATAATCTCGAAGTTATTATTTATCATTATTAATTAATAAGATATCTTTTAATGGAAAAATATACAAAAATAAAATATATAAAACAGATATAATCATGATGAGATTATTTAACATAATAGAAAACGAATAACATTTCCGATAATTTTATTTAACGTTTTTAAATAAATAATTCATAAGATACCAGATAACGAGATGAAATTTGTCATCTGCAACAAGATAATATAAATATTATACATTTAAATCAACGATGTGCTTGTATAGAAAAAATGCAAATGCAATGATCAATATATATATTCGGATCTACGATATCTTAAAATTACTTTTGTTCGAATCGTCGAACAGTGTTGAAGATTGATAGATTAGATGAGAAAATAGGTCCACAGAGGTGCGAGCCAAGCTAATAGCTAAGTCGAAAGAATCGCAAGAGAAAAGCGGGACGGCGATCGGTATCTTGTAGAACGCACAAACGACGGAAGCGGATCCTCCGTGAAAGCTCTTACGAAAGCAGCGGATTAATTGAAAGAACGGCGCGCGATCAATCGAGCGTGGGTAAACCTATCGTGCAAAAGGGAGAGAAGCGGTAAAGAGAGAAAGAGAAAGAGAGAGAGAGAGATAGAGAGACAGCATACAGAGAGATAGGGGAGAAAGAGAAAGAGAGAAAGCAAGAGGGAGATAGTATCTCGAATCATTGAAAACGCTATAACCTAACCTCGATTTTCGAACTCATTATCGCACCGAGGTCTTTCCTATAAAAACTACTACAGGAAATGCACATTTCCGTATTGTTAATATTACAAAAAAGAATAATAATAACTAACGGGAAATTGATAAATAACGATTAATCAAGTTTTCTCGCGGCATTCAAAGGAAGACATAGAAAGAGATAGATAGAGAGGCATTTAAATGGATGGATGACAGAGTAAAAGATAGAGTATAGAATTGGTAGGCAGAGAGAAAGAGAAAGAGAAAGATAGAGAGAGAGAGAGAGAGATAGAAAGAGAAAGAAGATTGCCCTCTCGTCCTGTCTAAAGGACGACTCGTTATGATTTCTCTTTCTATCTTGCGTTGCAATGAATTGACAGAGAAAACGATCTTTGATGATATGAAAAAAATGGTTAAAATAATCAAACGAAGAGGAAAAATACGTTAGACGAGGATACGAGGGGAGTAGGTCGAGGGAGAAAAAAGACCGAAAGTGTCTGGCACGGTGACACCCACCTTGCCAGTGGACCACTCCTCTTGGCTCTTTGTACGAGTATTTTTTCGACCACGGTGACGTTTCCGTTCCTCGCTGCCTCGAGCAGCTCATGTTCCTTCCCCATGTTCCATTTACACCGTGATCGGTCCTCGATATTCGACCGCGCACTTGTCAATTTCTGTTTTTACTACGATTTCTCGCGTTTCATTGATCCAGCGTGGCCATCTTGCCAATGCGACTGAGGCGCCTTAATGCGGCCAACGCTCGAAGCGCTATCGCCGCCGACGGCCGACGAACGCGCGACGAACGACTCTTAAATAACGTGGGTGCGAGCGAGAGCGTTGTCCTCTTGGTATACGACTGAAAAAGAAAGAGAGAGAACGAGAGCGCGTAAAGGAGAATGACTCAGGTTACGATCTTATCCGAGTTCTCCCGAACGAACAACGAACGTTTAAAGACAGCTGTCATACCATTATCGAATCGTTTTCTTTGGACAAGAATTTAATTTGTATTAAAGAAGTGTTTTCTTTTTTATCTTTATATATTGTTTATTTCTACATTTTGTCAACAAGTTTTGATGACACACGATGCAGTTCATTGTATTTGGGTCTCCTTTTATAATCTTATCATTACTAATAATTAGTGAACAAATTGAAGAGGCTAACACAACCTAAACAATCTGTGGTAAGTACAATTTTAAAATTCCAAGGTTTATTATGCTTTCTATTTTCAAATAATATGCGTTTCTTTGATTCAATTTATGCATTTACCATCAAGACAAAATTTCTCTAGTTTATTTTTCTTTCTTTTTTGTTTCTTAATACTTGAAAAACACTTTGGGAATTGTTATTTCTAACACATTTTCTTGTCTGCGTATATCTTATTAAGATTATATATTATCGTATATCCTTACAAAAATCAATTGAAAATTTCCACCAAATGCTTTAATATAGATGTTATAGAAAGCTTTCATACGTTATAGAAAGCTTGCTAATGATTTGCTCGTAAAACATATAAGATAGAATAAATAACTTGTAATGGTAAAGTCAAGACCGATAATACATAATATGAAACTAATAAAAGTAATGTAACTACCTCGAAGCTTATTATACTGTTCTTCCTTTCCTATACGTAACTGATGATAAAAGTAAATGTTAAGTCGTAGTTGGTACGATAACTGTAATGGTTACTATCTTAATTGTAAGACATAAATGATTTTATCTTTTAATACATTTTATGTAATCGCTGGATAATATTTGTCTTATTGCAGTTTTAGTACGATAAAATTAAATAGATAATATCATAACAATAAGAAAAAAATGATCTTACTTTAAAAACATCTTATGTTTGTTTGGATAATAATCATATTTTTAAATAAATATTCATAGTTATAAGTCTGAATGCGTTGCCTGCTTTTTTTATGTGTATTTTGAGTATCGCTCCTTTCCAGAACGTTCATCGTATTAATCTTATAATAACAATGTGCTAATTGACTTATAACAAATTCCGCTCTATTAAACTACTATGAAACCACTAACTATTAAAACTTGCTGTATCAACTATGCATGTATTTTAATTAATTTGTAAGCATTACAATATAAAAAATCTATCTAATAAGTATAAACATGGTGACATTGATATAGTATTACAATTAAATATATTTTTTCGATATTTTTTCTTTTACTTTACTTTTTGTATTGTTCTTTTCTTATTAATTTTCATATAAGACATCTTATACTTTTTTCATTATGTAAAATCTGTTATATTATTTATCAATGTGTTATATTAATGTCTTGATAAAAAAATAAACAGTATTTTTTAATAGAGGAAAATAACATATATAACTATACAAAAATAGTAAAGAAATTTTGACATTGTTATTGAATAATCTAGAAAATGAAGCATTAAAAAAAGGATAACGTTAACTCCTGCAACTAACTATACAATAAATATTTCTGATATACTACCTATCGTTTCTTTTTCTTATCTTTCAAGTTCATACTTATCTATATAATATAAAACTTTCCTATGACAAATTAAATCTTAATAAAGTTTTAAACAGATGTTTATTTGGATCTAACATTGGTTTATTATCATTGTACCAAAGAACATTTTTTTATCAGAAATGATAATTTCCGAAATGTCGAAGCTCTGCTGGCAATTGTTCCTTATTCCGAAGAAGGTGAGTGCATAAATAAATATGATTAATTGATATACGAGAATTTATAAGTAAAAATTAATATTTAAGCTCTTTAAAAATATCCTTCGATCAATTTTACAAATTTCGATGTAAAATAAATCATTTGTTCGTAATATTCGATTTAAATTTACTTAATATTTGACACCATTGTTTTAATAAAATATCTCATCATGCGTACGCGAATTATATTCAATGTTTAAACGATTTAACTGAACGCGTTGTTTTAATAGAATTCATCTCTTTTTAAATGAATGAAAAAAAGAAAAATGGAAACATTGTATGAGAGAGAAAGAGAGAGAAATGATTTTCAAGAATCTCTGTTACATCGTTCAACAATTTATCGATTGCAAACCCTATCCATAATCCGATAGCGGTGTGTAGAATAATGTTCTCGTATACTCGCAAAAAACAAAAAGCATGACAAAAAACCATAGTATCAAAAGAGAAGCCTCGAAATACGAGAAAACGTAAGTATATAATACGTTGTAGGTTTTTCGCGAACAAATCCACATCGACACCCGCAAATCTCGGTAGCAATGCTCGTAAAGTTCGATCCAGCAGAGAACAGATATCTCTCTGTTTCTCTCTCTCTCTCTCTCTCTCTCTCTCGCCCTCCCTCCCTCCCTCACCCTCTCCATCCTTTTCTCCTATCAACTTCCTTTCTTTTTCTCTCTTTTTCTATCATTGTTGTTATTCACAGCACCAGTACCAGGCGGCCGTGAATTCGAATTCGAGGCAGTGTCATTTCCAAAACTATGCGTAAATAATTCGATCTTTAGCATAGAATTCCAGAGAACCCATTTACCATCCACCAGCAATTAAAAGATGTAGACATAATATGATGTTATATCCAGAGATATATCGGTTGTACTTAACTGAACAGGACTTACTCCGTGGAAAGTTACTTCAATACCATTATCAGTATACTCACTGTCACTGATATTCTGCATAATGGTGAAAAGGTACATCTTCATCGAGAAAATATAACGATAAGAATAAAAATATTCCATTATTGATTCGATGACCCTATTATCCCTCACTCCCCTTATATCCTCATTCGTATAAGACGCGTTCCTTCTTTAAGGAGAATATAATTGTTTATTATTTGTTAATCGATAAATCACAACGCTAGATTAAAAGAAGAAATATTGATTTATATTTTTTTGTATATTTTTATTTTTATTTTTATTTTTATTTTTATTTTTATTTTCTTTTTGTTTCTTTTTTTATTATCAGATACCACGACAGGCCTTGGGTTTAAGCTTCTGACGAATCAACAGCATTTATTATGCCACTGGGACCATTTACATGGCAATAGCTACCTATGAAAAGGATTCTTCGGCTTACGTACCATTTTTCACTTATGGATTCAACTATCTTCTGTATCCCGAATATGGTCGTTTTTTAAGTATGTTACTATCCTACTCAAGATGTGAGCTTTATTAATTCAATTATTATTTTATTGCTTACAATTAGAGTTATCATGGATGTAACATTTAATTTAAGCTCAAAATTATTCATATTTCATTTTATTTTACAGATGACACGTTATCGAAGGTGTTATGCAGTATAACGCTTTTAATTGGTCTCTTATGCATTTTCCAAGAACATCGTTGTTACTAAATGGATTTAGTCGTATATACAACATTTTTTGGTGGCTTGATCACTTACAACATAGTTAAATACTTCGCATCTTACGAAATTACAAGTAAATAATATTATTTATGATTGTTAATTTTTACAATTAACAAATTCATGTATGATCCTTGGATTGATATTAATCAAATATTTTTTTCTTACAGCAAATCTTAGAATAAGTATAGACGGAAGTTTTGTTTTCCTCTTTATCGTGGAGATTATTTTCCTCTATTTTTAAACAAATTTTATCGACTTCATTTCCTTACTTTTTCTTGGATTTCTCTGCAGCTCGATCATCTATTTCCGTATAAAAGGTAAAATGATAAATAATAAAGATAAGAAAAAATAGTCGCTTAGCTTCTATAACTAAAACAAAAATAACTAAAATAGATGTAGCTAACGGGTAAATTTCATTCAAGTGTGAAGGCAAGCATAGGCGTCTATCAGCATTCATACGAAGCGTAATAAAGTTTCGTTAAAATGAGCTTCTCACACCATTTTTACAAAAAAAAAACTGCATAGATTCTAATTCTTTAAACTCATACAACGTCATAAACTAAATATTTGTTTGTTACTACATCTATATATATATAACAAAAAAAAAGATAATAGAGTATTCGTTGATCCTACTTTGAGGTCTGTCGTTAGAAAAATCTGCATCCATTTACAACATTATTTCAATAAACCAGATATTTTATTCAAAATTTAAAAAGTGCAATCGAACAGGAGAGATTTCGTAACATATTGAAGAAAATATTTTGACTTGACAAAAAGTAGTATTGATGGGAACGGCAGCGAGCGTAAAAGTTTGCTACGCGCTCTATTCCCATTTGATCGTTTTTAATACTAAAGTAAAAGAGAGTAAGAGAAAGAGAAAATAAGGGTGGAGGTTGTATGAGGTGGAGTGAGGGTTGGCCAGCAGGCCGAAGTTAGTCCGAGTTTGGCGAAGGGATGAAACGTAGAGACTTCGTGTCTCTCCCTTTTTCGGGGGTAGCTTCTATCAATGTTGTCCGTTCATGTGGAAACTTTCGGCTGCTGAATCCCCCTCGGTGCAGGGAGTAGAAGCGGAGCGACATCCGCGTTGCCTCCCACCTTTCTCACTATAACACGAGGACGAGGATGAACACATCCCCCTTCCCATCCTTCCATTCCGTGCACGCGCGCGCGTACTTTTCTGCGCGCACAATGAGCCTTCGTCCACTCTCTCATTCTCATTCTTTTTCTCTTTCCTTTTATCTTTGTCATATTGCCTTCCAATTCCAAATCCCACAGAATGATCTAACCAGCTTGGAAGATTTGCATTTACCTAATTGTGTTCCCTCCGTATTTGCTTAGTACCAAGACCTATTTAGATTACCCGCTTTTAGTAGGCACAACCCTATGTCGAGTCCGTCTTGATTCTTTCTCGAAATCCTACAAAATGGTCTATTGTGTGTTCTTTATTTTCTTTTTATATTATTTGTATTATTTTTTGAAAGTAGATGTAAAATTTTTTATGAGTCCGCGAATCAATAGAATCATCTCAATCCATACGTTATTATTTTTAAACGAATGAGATAAACTAAAAATTCACATTATCATTCACATGCTCCCTTTTTCCAGAATTTCTGTATTTTTTGGAATACGATCAGTAGTTGTTCTGGATTGAGTATTGGATCATTGCGCTCTTGCTCGTAATTGTTATACATGGCTTTTGTTCTATTACTCTGACGTGTGTTTTTCTCGGAGTATTTGTAGTTTTCTTATCGATTGCTTATTTTGTAGACTCAATTTTAATGTATATTATTATTAACGTCGTCAGATGCGTGATTGTACCTGAATTCAGGTTCGCGGTCGTAAGCTTTTCATTGCAAAAGTAATCATTTTGTTCAATTTTTTTATTTATCTATCTTCGTTTGTATTTTTTCTTTTTAGATATTGGCCTAATCCTATTTTGGATTCTTTTGTCCATACTTCGAATTACATATAATGTTGCTCTAAAATTTTTTACTTCAATTGTCGACGCAACGAATTATCTTGTAACTTTACTAACGTTGACCAAGAGGATAACGTCATTGATCGGTAACACACTTAAAAACGCATGTGTATTAGTATATCTAACGTGTATTTTAAAATTAGGACTTTTCTATTATTTGTTCTTGATGTCATTTTATTTCTGAGAGAGTAGTTTTTGTTTAGTTTGTTTTTTTTCTATACGTTACTTAGAAGGATAGTTATAATTATTTTTTCACATTTAATAACGCGAAATATAATATTATATCACTTACCTTTCAACTTGATATTGAAAGCTTAATACTTCAGTATTGAACGATCGTTGTACAAAATACACCATTGTATTTCGCGTTATATTCATACCAAAAAAGATGTTATATAAATATATATATTTAAGTTGTTAACACGTACTTACTTAGATGTACGTTCTTTTAACTTAACTTAACAATCTTCTCTTTCTTGTTTCTAATATATTAGTGCACGCGTGTGTTTTTGCTCTCTATATGTGTATTTAGTGCAATTATGTGGGTAAAGAATGTGACTCTGTTAAGATTAAAATGAAATAACATTTATTGGAATTGAGACAGCGACAGCTAACAATGGTTCTAATTTCCTACTACTTACAATCTTAAAGGTAATCACAGCAACAATATTATCTCATTATTCACAACACTTACATTGGATTACGGTCGTATTAATATATATGCATATACGTACGTAATATTTTATATACATTTTCATTATTTCTCGTTAATAAATTTGTTTATACTTATACACTGTATTCATTACTAGTATCGTTATTACAGATAAGAGAAGTGTTACGTGACCACTTCTACGTTATGTTTTTTTTAAATTACTTGTTGATAATCGGAAGGGAAAGAGATAATAATGTTAATCGATCGGTTATTTTAAATAAAAGAAATTCAAAATAATTAAGTTACCTGTGATGAAATATTAAATAATTTAACTCTTTTCTGTGTATTACAGCTATTAGACAAATTTATTGATTATAATCTGTGCAGAGAACGAACAAACGAAAATGATTCGAGGTTTTTATCGAATACGACAAAGACGCAGAAGTGGTAACTTACAGAGCGAAATCAAAACGTACGTAGATGTCTCGAAACGATCGGTTAATATGATAAGGGACCTTGGCTTGTAGATCTTCGAACAAGATGAGTGAACAATGAAAATTGTCTAAGTATTATAAAAAGCAACGACCAGTAAATTCTATTTGCGAATCTATGATCTGTGCTCGTTTCTGTCCCTGCTTCTTTCCTTTTTAAATTTCATTTTAATTTTGTTTTTTTTTTTTGTTTCTGTTCCAAAAATATAAATTTACTAGATAATTTACATTATAGTTTCACGGTTTTAATTTTGTCCGTATTAACGTATCGTAACGTCGCGTGAAAAAGTGCTTATTGACGATCGAAAGAGAATGAGAAAGAAAAGTAAAGAAAAGAAAAGAATTCGTGACTTTACGAGAAAATACTGTTCGATTCGTTTCTTCTACGCTTCTTGTACGGGACTCTCAATGGAATAGATAGGAGAAGGAAGTGGAGGAGTATGATCGCAATGGCAATGATCGATAGAATAAACGTTATTATGATTGACATGTTAACTTTTTAACACAAACGTATAGGTATTCTTTGTGATTAATTATTGACCGTATGACAAATTGTAAGTGCTTGTTTGCTATATTTATTACAAAGTTCGATTCGTCGTAGCCCATTTTCAGACGCTTTTGGTGAGAACTCATGGCTTTGTTTCTCGATATAGGATCGTCGACAATCGAGGGAGCTTTTCGTGCATTCGTAGGGGAGATAAAAAAAAAAAGGGAAAAAAGTAATAGAAGAGAGAGGGAGAAAGAGAGATAGACGGGGGCAGTCCGAATCGGGTTTAAAATTCGAAATAAACGCGTAGTCGGTGATTCGTCGGTGTTTTACATAGCTTCCGCATCAGATTTTGAGATCGATGGACTAATTATTCAGCGCATGGCACTCAATTAGCAAAAAAACGCGTTGTTTCGTTGTGCTTTGTGCATCATTAAAAACATTTGGTCGAATCAACCACGTCGCATCCATCGTCACGAATCTCTAACGGAAGTTACAGGTGGTTGCCAGGTAGAACTACATATTTATTTTTGCTCGCGCGCGCAATAGAATTTCACTTTAACGTTGAATATTTAAACCGGACTGTGCGGTGAATTAGAAAATGCGATCTCCAATGATGGATTTGGACTTTGTTAAAAAGGAAGTTTCTTTCTTATAAAAGAACGCGCACGATTGAACTCCATGATTGTGACGTTAATTAAAACAAAATGACCCGCGCGAATTTGTTCGTCGGTGCAGAAATCAATATCGTTCCGAAATCCCTTTACGAAATTTTCTAAATTTTCCATTCGGATACGCTTCGACGATCACAAGAGAAGAACGGCGATTATCGCGCGTACAATTTCAAGCCATTGTTGTTCTTAAACATCCAAATTCATAGCGACGATCGAAGTTTCATATATTTAGTTTTATTTTTTCTTCTTTATTCGTTCGTTTATCTCTTAACTACAACGTATATACAATATGCCGATGATTATCGCTAATTTACATGTCTACGATCTACAGAGAGTAACAAATGCTATTTTACAATCAGCTTTATACAAGAAGAAATGTTGAGATTAGGAATTAGGTGAGGGAGAAGATGTAATTGGCAAATGAAAAAGCGGAAAACGAGAAAAAAGATCGACGATCAAAATCCGATAAGAGAATATCGGAAGAATTTTTTTTCTTCAATATATAATGCTTCGAGTATTTTCCTTTCATAGAATTTCGACGTCGATTCTTTAGACCGTTTCACGAGTTTTATTAAGCTACGGATTCGTGGATTCGTCTTATTAAATAAGATAGCTCGAGCGAAACGATTGAGCTATATTGATTTGATTTCTACGAATGATTGGTAACATCGAGTGTGTTTTTGAGTCGAATAAAAAAGTTTTCGGTCAGGAAACGCATACGCATATACATATACATATACACATACATATACATATATATATACATACGTGTTCGTTTATGCTGGTTCAGCATTTCGTTGAAAAAAAAAAATTTACCCTGTGATTAAACGTCGACGTATAAAGAAAAATGATCTATAAATGCATGATTTTCATTTCAAGTTTGTAACCTGATTTTTCCTTCTTGTCCCGTTCTGAATTGTTTAATCGTTACGGGTACTCTCTTGGTTTAATTCGGCACGTCAACGCACCGTCATTGCGATGAATTCCAAATAATTCTACGGATCGATAATAAACGAATAAATTCTTCGACATTCTCACGATTTACCCTTACAGAATTTCTGATCAATTCTAACTTGATAAAATAACAATAGCGTTTAATATTGTATACGCCAAATGATTACTTAATGACAGAAAAATAAATGCATAAGGCTGTGGGAAAATCGATCGAAATAATTCGAATTGACTATTTAATCAACGCAATGTCGGTGTTATTACCGAAAAAGTTATTTTTCAACGCGATCATGTGTCTTAATTTATATAATATCGTGAACGGTGAAATACCCTGTGTGACCCGGGTCATGCGTATACATCTACGAGATTTAGACGATACACGGATGATCGTCACAGAGACATCGATATTTTCGAATAAGTTCGTTCTTATAAATGTAGGTAACATCGCATCGTTGATCCGATAATATCGAATCGACGTTAAAAGATAAAAGATAATCATAATTACCTAATGACATAAACGCAGATCTTTTTTTTACACCATAGTTATATAGGTACATTCTCGTAGAAAGAAATTAAATATATGAATAAACGACCATATAGGATTATCTGTAAAACACAAAAAGAAAAAAAAAAGAAACAAAAATAAAAATCAAAGATAAAAATAAAGAAAAAAAATGAATTGATGATTAAGAAACGTCTCACCGATCAACGATGCAAAGTCCTCCGAATTCGAGAGATGCGAGGTCCGTAAAAGTAGTAGACGATGAGGTATCCGATTCGCGTGGATGTCATCGAAGTTGAGCGACGTTTCGAGGCCTCGCTTAACAGGGAAAATATCATAAGTCTTAGCAAAAAGGGTCATTCTCGCTGTCGTTGAAGTCTCAATGGAATTGTCGTCGATGATTCTCTCTGGGTCTCTCGAAAAAGTATCGCAATTATGCGTCTCGTTCACTCGCTGGTATCGGAGGTATGTACGGGGGTCGTTGCCGGCGTGCTGCTCGGTTGCTGTTGTTGAGATGCCACCGGTGGTTGTGCCGGTATGCCGAGACTGGCTAAAAGCGGCCTCGAAACGGCACCCGGGGTGACCGTCGGTGGTGGCGGGCTCTCCTGCCCCACGAGCAAGCTCGCGGGTGGGAACCCGAATAGCTGGGATCACTGGAGCCGAGGCCAATAGCTGCCAGTTAGGTCCGGAGTCTGTGATGGTATCTGCACTGGCACCGACACGCCTGCCGATATAACCCCTGAAACACATTCAAGGTCGATCGCTTGCTTTACGTTTTCCCTCCTTCCTCTAATGCAACTTTTCTCCCATTTTTTTTATTTTTTTTCCTTCCCTCTCTCTCTCTCCCCCTCACTGTTCATTTATTTATTTTCGTCTATTTGCAAATAGATTCTCAAAGGTTCCTCGCGAAAAAAGGAAACACGACAATATTTTATCATTAATTCAACGTTGATCTTTTTATTGACAAATGATTTTGTACTTTTTTGTTGTTGTTGTTGGGAATAACAACTAAACCATTAATTCTATCGAATCAGCTGATGGAAATAATGCAAGAGACGTGACACCACCAGAAAATTAATCTAATAAGGATTCCATTTCTAGAATCCTCGTAAATATTATTTGTAAGTTATTTATTCTTTACTAGTCATTTTTTGTCTTGTAATTATGTTCCTTAAAATAAGACTGTATTAATGCTACCTCGTGTCATTTAACATTATAGACTTCTTAAATCAAAAATGTCTCTATTAATATATATTTACAAATAATTATTTAATAAATGTATTTATATAAAATATGATGTAAAATGATTGTTTCTATTCCGTCGAATGAAGTTCCTCTCTATGAACATTACTTATTTCAAAATAATAAATGTTTCGAAGTAAATCTTTCAAAATGATTCTTTCAAAAGAGCGTAAACCAAGAGAAAAAAAAAAAGAAAAAAATCCTTTTACCCTGGATGCATACATCAACCCTCATTACGCTGATGCGAGGATAAAGAAAAAGCGAGAACGTTCCCAACGGTGGTTGGTGAACGGTGTCTTCATCAGCCGACTACTTAACTATGAAAACGTGCTTCTCTCTGCAGAGACATAGGTGCCAAAAGAAAGAGATAAAGATAGATAAGAGGAAGACAGAAAATAAGGTGCAATGATAACGAGACCGTGGTGTAGAAGTCTACTGCGTTGGTGCACGTAAAGCGATTATGAAGGATAATGGCGTGTAAGAAGAGAAAAAAGGAGGGTAAGATAGGACGCCGTGGAAAGAGAGATAGAAATAGATAAGGACAGATAGAAAGAGCGGAAAAGAGAGTAGGAAAAGAAGGCCGCGCGTGTTCCGCAGTATTCCACCATTCTACATCGCTCCACTCCATTCCTGTAGGTACGCCGCGCACCCCCGTATTTCCTCCCCTTTGGGTTCGCACGTTATTGAGCGCTCGCCCAGCCGAGGCGAGACCCAACCCATCCACATCCTCTGTTCACCCCTGTACATTCTGACGAGAGTGAGCACGAGAGAAAGAGAGAGAGAGAGAAAGGAAAAAGCAAGTAGAAGGGATAGAAGGGAAGGGTAAGTAGGGAGGAAGAGAGGTACAGGACGAAGAGGGTCGACCCTCGACGGCTTTCGTTAAACGGGAGAGGAGCGAGAAATAGAGATGGATAGAGAAAATGAGAGAAAGACCAGAGGGAAAGAGTGAACGAGTCAGAGAGAAAGAGAGAAAAAGTCGAGAAAATGGAAAATTCAGGAGCTCTACGTCGACGGGGGTGGAAAACCGCCGAACATCCCATTCTTCGATTCAGCCCGCCGGCGCCATGCGAGATTTGTTTTAAAATCCTTTTACAATTCCGTGGGCGAGCATCGACCCGCGTGCTATAACTACTTGGACCACCCCTTACCCTTCTATCTCTCTTTCTTTCTTTCTTTCTTTCTCTCTCTCTCTCTCTCTCTCTCTCTCTCTCTCTCTCACTCCCTGAGAACAGGGTTTGGTCTATGTAGATTGCGTGCGAAGAGGCTCCCAGGTAATCCTCGCCGCTTTATTTTGCACTCGACACTCAGCGCAAAAAAGGAAAAGGAATAGAGAGAGAGAGAGAGAGAGAGAAAGGACGCGACGATTCGTGAATAACGAAGAAAATTCGAAACAAAAACGTACTCGGCTCTGTATTCAACCCCTTTCGTAGGAATCACCTTGTTATTACAATTGGACGACAAATTTTTCTCTTATTTATACTACAAATTATAACTTTCACTTATTCTAATATTAGAGTTTCGGTGAGAGATATTGAAAAATAATCCGTCAGGAAAGAGACCCGAATGTTTGTTCATTTTTTTTTTGTTTTTTCTTTTAAACAAAGCAACGTCGATTTAACGCACATTTAAAAAATAATAATAAAAAAAAAGAGAAAAGAACAAGCAATATGAATGAGATATTATCAACAGTACGTGGGAAATAATTAAAGGTATTGAATGTACGCGTGGAAGCGCAGATAATAGATTTACCGGCACGATTATTCACAATGTCATTCGGAGTGATAAAAATGTGGGATATATTTCACGGATATGAAGCACAACGAAATTCTCTCTCTCTCTCTCTCTGTTTCTCTCGTTCTATTTTTCTGGAAAATAGCTCGCTCAGTTAATAGACACCGAAATGGTTGAAAGCTTACGACATCAAATTAGCGACACCTCGAAGCTCTCCGGAGATACGAAGCGAGAGATCAAATATCCAGAGATAAAGTGCTAAAATAAAAGAGACAATGGGACGCAACCGAGGAGGTTGAGCGAATGAACGACGCGGCATGCACACGTTATTACACGAATGAGAGCAATTCTTATGTTGAATTGACAAGCGAGTAAAAATTGAAGACATTATGCGAGCAACTCATACTACTACTACTACTACTAACTCATGCAATTCCTTGGCGAAATCCGAATCTTTTCTTTTATTGCTTTCGCATTCCTACTAACGCTTTTTATTGGATTTCAAAGTCTACTATGATTAGTATTTGAAAAAATGCATATAAAATAAAATTACGTAGTCATAAAAGGATCGTCAAATGAAATCCGTTCAAAATGGTCATTTATTCTTTCATTTGTGTAGGATGCCTGAACGGAATGTATATGTGTGCTCGTGTATGTGTGTGTGTGTATTGGAATAAAAATATTCATATAGAATATTCAAGAAACTTCGTTCCTTTCTCTATTATTTATACTATTCTTGGAAAACCGAGAAATAAAATCTCTCTCTTAGCTGGTAGAAAAATAAACGGTCCTTTAACTTGTGTTAAACCCTTGCCCGTGTTTATTTTAGGCAAAGCATCTCCTACAATGTATCTTTTGTATATAAAAAGTATTGTAGCCGAGAAGATAGTTGTTGTCGTTGCAATGAAAAAATAAGGAAAATAAAATATAAAAAGTGGACAATTAGTTAGTGAGTATCTCTGTTGAAATAGTTAGTCGTGGAAGGATCATTATCGTCAAAGTATCGTATCTGTTGATAAT